CATGGCAAGGATGTACTAACAGCAGTGGAACCGTTTCACTGAAACAGGACGGGTATACAAGATCTCCGCCGAGGAGATGAACACTGCAACACAGACTTTGGTTGAGCGAAAAATGAAAGTAACGTAGACAAGGGCGGATCCATAACACAATTTTTTTGGGGGGCCAAAAAAAAATTTGGTCCCCCCAAAAAGTGGGTCAAAAAAATTACGGCGTGGGGTTCGGGGCCCGTTTAAGGGCCCCGAAAAAATTTTGGATTCTAGATGCTCTGTGGTGCGATCTGAGGCAATTTCTGACCACTTTAACCAATGTTTTTTTTTGAGGAAAAGATGGTGGTGTACTCATTGCCGGCCTTTATTGCGATGTCACGTTTTTTTGGGGGGGGGGGCCATGGCCCCCTTTGGCCCCCCCCCTGGATCCGCCCTTGAACGTAGACCGGTATAACATATTTTTATGTCCCGCAGCGAAGCCGAAGGGGCATACTGTTACCGCCTTGTCCTTCCGTGGGTGGGTGGGTGGGTGGGTGTGTGTGTGTGTGGGGGGGGGGGGGGGGGGGTGTGTGTGGGGGGGGGTGAGTTTGTCTTACATTCCCTATGTGGACTTGTGAACAAAAGATGTCCACATAATGCAGGTTGTGTTAACATTATGTGGACTAGTAAGCCGTGTCCACATAACGTTTTGCCCTTTCTGAAAAACAGGTATAAAGGCATTTTTGGGTTAGGTTTATCTGTAGCAGAATGAAGAGAAACACTATAGGGAATCATAGAAAAAAATTGGGTTAAAAGAAATTCACAGTTTAAGTAAAGTTATTTTTTTGTACCGAGTTTTCTTAACTACACGAAAACAAAGGAATGTCCACATAGCGTATGTAAAACAAACGTGAGTGGGTGTGTGTGTGAGTCCGGACAAATCTTGTCAGCGCGATAACTTGAGAAATACTTAACATATGAATTTCAAATTTGGTTTGTGTATTGTTCTTGGTAATCCTAAGAACCCTTTTGCATTTGGGGCCGAAAGGTCAAGGGTCAAGGTCCCAGTGACTAAAACAAAAGAAATTTTGTTAGTGCGATAACTTGAGAAATACTTTACATGTGAACTTCAAATTTGGTTTGTGGATCGTTCTTGGTAATCCAAATAGGCCTATCGCATTGGGGTCCAAAGGTCAAGGGTCAAGGTCACAGTGGCTAAAACAATAAAAATCTTGTATTTATTCTGAGATCATAGGGATTAGGGATTAATTCATATAAAACCTACAGAAGACACTAATGCTGTCAATGAACGTTCCATGTGACCAAGGTACGTACGTGAAAGTTGATGTTAAAAGAGTGGTGTTATGTCATGGGAACAGTCACGGTTGCGGGGCATTTGTGTTTGTAAACACACCTGACTTGGATATGAGTTGAGACTATGCGGTTGTAAAGGGCAAACATGATGCACAGGTAAAATGTGCACATGTACACAGTACAAGTACAATGTATACATATACATGTACATGTACAAATGTACATGTAGGCCTACATTTAATATTATGCATACTTTTTCATGGACAGGCTTTCTTCAAAAAATCATAACTTAAAAACTTTAAGAGCGCCCATCCCAATTTTTTTTAAAGATTGTTGCTGACATCATAAACTAACATTTGAAAAAAAATTACAAAATTTGAAGCATATTGTTTTTCGTAATTCGAGGTCAAAGGTCATTTTGTTACGCATTTTCTCTGCACTTCATGCTACGATTTTGGTTTTATTTTATGAAATGGAGGCCATTCAAAGAACTTTAATATGATGTACAACTTGGCTTTGTAGGCGCTATAGTTTTTGAGATACAAGTATTTAAAGTTCGGAGGTCATGCTAATTAGTCAAAAGTTCGTTGACCCGTATCTCAAAAACTAACGAGTCAATTTACAAAAAAATTCAGTTCTGGGGGTTTCTCATATAGGCCAATCATCACACCAAATATTGTTTCAATCTGTGAGGGTCGGGTCCAAAAGTGTGTTGATTTGACACGGAATGACCCAAATGTGATTTGCAACAATGATTTGCAACAAAGTGTTTATTTAGCAGTGAACTGGTCTCGCATTTTTTTCGCTCGAGTTTGAGTTCAAGCATGACCGATGTTTTCGAACTTTATTTTTTGTGTCCCAAAAATGTAAATTGTCTTCTTCTATTGTTTTGAATCGAATCCTACATTTAATTGCAATTTTGTTCTGTGACTCTCCACAGATTTTGTATACCTGTCATATGAAAATCGGACTTGTATGAAAATCGGACTCTTTTCCCCTTTTATTGGTTAAACCCTCTCACGTGACCGGTCCCTCTCCTAATTATCTATGCATGAGCATGCGCAATACCACCAAAGAGTCCGTATTTCATAAAACCTAAATTCATGCTACACCGGTACAACCGCTTAGGTAGCGTCTGTGGATACATGTACTCTTTCCGGCTCTTCAAGAGGCTGTCTTGCTAGCTCCGCGTCAGTGCCCCACTAAGCTCACCTACATATAGTCGTGTTCCCTAACGTGGCGCACTTGGAAGCTTACCCAACTTTCCTCGTGTAGTGTTGCCAAACCTCTTTATTGACAAACCTCAAATTCATGCAGTAAAATACTGGTACTTTTACCTTATAATGCTTGCTATTTAACCTCTGTGAACAATTTCGGTTTCATAAAATTTAATCTGAAATTCAAAAACGGTGGCGTCCGAAAAATGGGCACAAATTGGCGGAGTGTTCCCTAACGTGGCGCACTTAAATAAATCTCGGAAAATTCCAAATTAATTAAGAATTTCTGTAAACTTGATAAATTCTGATAAACAAAACTCTAGTTACGGTAATCCTTACTTTTAGGACACCTCTATTTTTACAAGTTCTGTTCAAAAATGACTTTTGCAGATGACTGTCCAGTACCAAAGTGACTTTTGCAGGCTAAAGCAGTCTCTTTTCTTCATATAAACTCATGTTAGTTGTAATTTTGAAAGCACTTTCAAAGAAAATGTGACTTTTCTACCTTTTTTCGCAGTCAGACGTGCATGTTGTAGTTCTCACAACACAGTGAAAGCCCTACATAATGAAAGCCCGATGCTGATTGGCTGCTAAAAAAAATAAATAAGATGTTTATTTTTTATCAGCTAATCAGCATCGAGCTTTCATCGCATTGAGCTTTCAGGTTTGCCATCCATCCCTACATAATGAAAGCCCGATGCTGGTTGGCTGCTAAAAAAAATAAATAAGATGATTATTTTTTATCAGCCAATCAGCATCGAGCTTTCATCGCATTGAGCTTTCAGGTTTGCCATCTTGGTTTTTTAGTCTGTTTTCTGGTTGTCATCGTCGTCTTTTACCCCTGAATTTCCCTCATAAATCAAAGCCCTGCCCTCTTTCCACAAAATTAATCCTGCTGATATTCAAGAAGGTGTCATTGCCAATTGTTCAGATGTGCCAAGAAATATCAGAATGTCAATTTTGAGTGTCATTTAGTCAACTGTTTTGGTGAGTCTTTCCCTTCCTACATGTCCTATATAGGAACGGGGTCCTAAAAGTAAGGATTACCCTAGTTACATATCCAGCCAGATGTTTGTCAAAAAAAAAATTCTCATTTTTACGGGGCATTTTCAAGGTGAAATGGTTCACTTTGCACTTGAAAATAAAATCGGAAAATCACGCCAAAATAAATTTTTCTTTTAACTTTGTAACGGGTAGGGCCTAAATAAACTCGCGATTTATGAACAGGAGTATTTTTACTTTCTGTGAAATTTCAGTTTTTCAAATTTCAGTTAGGGGGCCTAATAAAACTTTTGCTCTAGCTAGCGCTACAGGCGAAAAATCAAAGTGCGCCACGTTGGGGATCGCGCCGGTGCCACGTTCATGACGTTTAATAATAGGGTACATCAACAATATACTAGTTTGCACAGCACTCGCCAACCAATGCCAATGTCACGCCCCAACTATCGCATCGGTCCCAACTATAGTTGGGACTGTCCCAACTATAGTGCGGCAGTTGGGTCGGCCCAACTATAGTTAGGACTGGAGTTGCGCCGGATGCTTCATGCTTGATAGATCTGGCACCGTGTATTCGTCGTGCATGCATGCCGCAAGGCTGACCGGTCACGTGGTACTGCCTAGTTGGATGAGTTGTCCAGCTGCTGGGTTGATTGTCCAGCAACATTTTGCAAAATTCAAAGATTGCCATGGCCGGCCAACTATAGATGGGCCCCACCCATAGCTAATGTCAAAGGTCCCAAGTAAAGTCGGACAGTATGTAACAGAGTTGTAGGGAATGTTTTATAGTCGTCGTACATCAATGTAAACTATAGTTGGGACCGCCAAATAAAAATATTGCCGTGGCCCAACTACAGATGGTCCCCACCCATAGATAATTTCATTGGTCCCAAGTAAAGTCAGATGTGTATTAGAGTTGTAGGGAATGTTTTATAATCGTACAACAATGTACACTATAGTTGGGACCGCAAAATAAAAAGATTGGGGTGGCCCAACTATAGATTCGCCCCATCAATAGCTAATTTCAGTGGTCCCCAGTAAAGTCAGACGTGTATAAGAGCTGTAGGGAACGTTTTACAGTTGTACATCAATGTAAACTATAGTTGGGACACCGCAAAATAAAAAGATCGGAGTGGCCCAACTATAGATGGGCCAGCACAACAGTGGAACTTACAGTTGGGACCGTCCTAACTATAGTTGGGACAGGCCCAACTATAGTTGGGCCAGCCCAACTGTGGAACTACAGTTGGGACAGGCCCAACTATAGTTGGGACAGGCCCAACTATAGTTGGGACCGATGCGATAGTTGGGGCGTGACACCAACACTCATTAAAATGCGCACGTGCGCTACGTGCATAGTGATGAACGGACCATGGAGGAGGGAGAGGAAGGAACACAAACGGACCAGAGACGCTGTATACCTCGATGGTTCAACCATCGTTCACGACCTTTATAACTTGAAATCTGGGAAAAAAATAGGTCTTGGTTCTAAGGAAAGATACTTACATTTTTCATATAACAGTTAAAAACAACTTATGTATTTCACCTCGGCGTACGTGTGGGTCAACAGAACGGTCAGTCAGCGACACGGACACGGTGCAGGGACGCGTCTTTCTCATCTCAGCTCACCGGCGCACGGTGTTTTTACTACTTGCAGCACACATCGTCAACGGCTCATGATTATTCAGCTAGCGATGTTTATTCATAAAAAAATAACAATGACGTCACGCCATTGCTATATGATGTTTATTCATAAAAAAATAACAATGGCGTCACACCATTGCTATAACTCGACCATTGATCTCCGCATAATGATTAATGAACTCGACTCAGACTGTCAGACATGCAAATATAATATACATAAATTTAATAAAAAGCATTTCAAAGAACGGCTTTCGTCGAGCTGCCACAGTGGCCTAGAGGATAGTGGAATCGCAAGATCTATCGTTCGAACCCATGTCCGTTTTTCATCATATAATTTTTGTTGGTTGGGATAAGTTAAATTGAAGGGAAAACGCAGTGTCATCCATCCACACAGCGTGATAAATATTCATGTTGGGTGCGTAATGTGATTGGTTAAAATACGATGTGTGCTGCAGAAAAAAAAATACGTGACCGGTGTGGACGGTAATTCTGTCCCCCGGTAAAAGTGTCCGGGGGGACAGAATTACCTAGGTAAAAGTGTCCCCCTGTCCCGTTAATTCTGTCCCCCTCCAGGTAATTCTGTCCCCTCCAGTTAATTCTGTCCCCCCTGGTTTTGCACGCATAAGTTGTTATATTGATGTTATTATAATAAATTCAGCGCACAGGTATACGTACATTTTTAGATTTTTCCACCCTTCATCAATAATTATCAAAATGAAATTAACGTTTAGATGTTAATCAACCGATCTATGTTTCTGCAAGAAGGCACGCGTAGTAATACTCAACCTATCGCTAGCGCGCGCACGCGCATCAGCCGCCGATACGCGTGTGACTGTCATGGCGGACTTCAATGAGGAGAATTGGCAAAATTATACGCGACACGGGTCACCGCGCCGCAGGCCTGCTGCTGGTGCACTGTTGTCCCCGTCCCCGGCCGCGGCCCTGGCGCGGCCCGTAGGTGCGGTACACTCGCGCGCACGCCCACCATGCAAATCGTTCGCTCCCGAAGTCGTCATCCAAACGGGAGTTGTCACGCTTTGACGTAAGCACCATTGCCGAAGTTAGCAAGGCGCCGCGCAAAAACAGTTAATAACTTCACTAATATACAGTCTGGGTGCTAGACTTGTGACGTTGCACTGGGACACATTTACCAGGGGGGACACATTTAACGTCGTGCAGAGGGGGACAGGTTTACCTAGGTAAAAGTGTCCCCCCGGACAGATTTACCGGGTCACGACCACTGATCTCTATATAAAGACTGGATAGCTAATAAAGAGCCGCACAATGTACGAATTTGACGCCATATTGGTGAGACCGGCTGGTGATCTACAAAGGACAAGTTGCCGTCTTTATAGACAGCTTGATTTCTTTTGTAACGTCGCGGCTCACTTGACTTATATTTTGGCCACCACCACTGACCAACTGACCAAGGTTTACTACAATTTTTCTAACGTAGTGGTTACTTTTATAATGCCGCAAATCACTTTTTCGGCGTTTTTGAAATAATAATCACTACGGAAATGTGTCCCTTTTAGAACATCATAATATGTGTACGTGACCAAAATGCGCGTCAACTGTTGTTACAACGCGCGCGTATTTACGCGTAGAACGTTCGTGTTATACGTGGCCATCTTCGTGAGACCGGGGGCGAATTGGTCAATATGCAAAGTCTACTGTGTGAATGTTGTATGCATATCCCTATCCAGTCTTTATATAGAGATCAGTGGTCACGACCCGGTAGATCTGTCGGGGGGACACATTTACCAGGGGGGACAGAATTACCTGCCACACCGGCGCGGCCGCCGATATAGCTCTATCGTTAAGATCGGACACTCCGCTGAAAAAGCACTGGGGACGAGGTTGATACCGGACCCTGCTCGTGGAGCAGAGTCACTGGTTCGCTCGTACCCCCCCGCCCTGCAAACAAGACGCTGGGATACTCTGATGAATTCACGCTCTGATTGGTTGGATTTTGCGTGACCAGCGACCTGCGCGTCATCAAGGTCATGACTCTGCAAGGTTTGAAACTGCCGTTAAGACTGATTCATTTCTCTTTTATTCCAGTTTAGAGATGTTTTTTTCTCGTTGAAAATCGTAATAATGTAGGAAATTCTGTAAAACTTATCTGTGTTGTAAATTTACAAGTCCCGTCACTCGCTCAGGCTCCGTTTCGAATCATGAACGGTCGGATTGCATTATGCGACGCTCAAAATTTTGTCCACATGGTCCGCAATGAAACAGAATCACATCCGGTATGGAATGTTCGCAATTCTATGGGAAGTTTTCGGATAGCATTTGCTTACATTGTCTAACTGCGGTCTTGAACAGCTGCAGCCAGATGCTTTATACATAGGTTATAGGCCACTTCCTTAACCTTCACATGATTCTGTGAAGCTCATCAGAGTATCCCAGCGTCCTGTTTGCAGGGCGGGGGGTACGAGCAAAAGTCACTGGTGGAAGTACGTCGCGCATGCGTTGTTTATTCCCTATAAACGGACAGATATGGCGGCTGAACAGCGGAAATCTCAAAGGGACTTGAGTTGACTTTCAGTTATTTGAAGTCTGTAATCATTTATTGAGTTCATTGCGACTTTTGAGGCTAAAATTTCAGCCCAACCTTTTGAGTTTTACAATTGACTAAAAAGCAGAAAATGTCAAACTAAGACCCACTAAGACCCAGACCGTACCCGCGGTTGAGCGTATAAGTTAGCCCGGCTGTCGTGGCTGACGTCTGCCTGTACCCGTGTCGACCCTGGTGAGCTAAACGAACGCACCCGATTCACGTTTAGATTCTCCCAACATCCGCATATGGGTGTACGCTATGGCGTTTTGGACTTAACTTTTATAAAATCCTAAGAAGAAAATATGAAATGAGAGAAAAAAAGTGAATTTGAACGTTATGAAATTCGGACTTTATTTTCCTTTAAAAAAATCCTCCAAAGCCTCAGGTTATGTAAGAAAAGGAAAAAAATTCGGGTGCAAAACCGATAATCGAATCCGCAACCTCGCGGTGCAAAATCCTGCCTTCTATCGACTGAGCTGTCGCACTGCTCGCAAAAACGTGGGGAAACAAATAATTATATACCTGCGTGCGTATCATAAAAGTATCGTAGAGGGCGCTAAACAACCATGTATGCGTTTGGGGTTGCAGACCAGTAATAAATCGGTCCGAAATTGCCTACGCCGGCCAAATCACGATTTGCATGCCCTCAAAATCTTCAGTATTTGAGCATGCTGTGGGCCATGAACTTAAAGGGAAAATACAACATTTGCAAACATCAAAAAATAAAACTACCAAATCATTTTGAAATACCTTGCTGGACTGTTAGTGAATGACAGTGTAAAGCATCCTGTAAAATCCTGGCACCTGGTATACTGTCATTTTCAAGAAAAGTGGTATTTTTGTATCAATTTCCAACGCTGATCGGCCGACCAGCGTTGGAAAAAACTGGCTTTTTTTCAAATACTGGCCCCAGTTGATCATCGCACTTGTTTGCAATCGATTACACACCTATGAACGGGTACAAGCCAGCTAGACTGGTTCCCTGACCTTACAATTCCCCAATGTATGTAAACTGCTCTGTTTCTTCTTAAATGGAGTCAGGGAACCAGACTAAAGGAAAATGATTGTTTTTCTTGGTTTTTATAGCATTTTCGAACCCAAAACCTCAAAAAACTCAGTGTAACTATATTTGCTATATATTTCCAACCCCCCAATTCCGTCCATTTCTGAAAATTACAGCAAAAGCAAATGATGTATATTCCCTTTAAGTGTTTGTAAAAAATATGGGTGGAAGCCGTGCACAGGACTGTGAGCTCCTAGTTCCGTTCCATTTGGATGAAAATGTGGCCCTTAATGCGCTCTATTTTGCCATGGAGTGTAGGCATCGTTTTTCAAAATGGCGGTGGGCTTCAGGACTATTTTTAGGGGTGATCACCTTCGGATGGAAATTTCTCCTAAAAGTCATCAGTTGACCCCCCGAAAATTGAAAAGAAAATGAAAGATGATGAAATAAACTTTAATTGATTTTGATGTGTGTCCCGAACACCTTGGAGAGTTGTGAGTATTTTCCCCGAATTTCTGAAGTGGGAGTATTTACCATTGGGGTCTATGGAAGTTTATTTACTGGTTTGCAACCTTGGGAGAAAATAATTCGCAGGCAGCGGGGTGCAACAGTGCAAAAGAATTCTCATAGAATTCCCACTTTCGAGCCCAATTGTATCCAAAATGCTCAGAATTGGAAGCCCCGAGTCCGGGTCATTGCCATAATCTCTTCAATTCCCCAATGTTATGGCTCTCAGAACTCTCTAATATAGAATATTTTGAGGGTATAACTTTTATTCATGAGCTCGGCGGATGGGTTTAGGCCTATTTACAGGTGTGCACCCAGCGGGGGCCGGGGGGGGGGGGGGGGGGGGGGTTCGAGCGAAGATTCTCCGTAGCCTCACACGCGTTTACCTATCCAACGCTAGGGGCGCCCTTCCCCGTTGCCCAATTTCGTCGCGTCAGTGCAACAAGGGCCAAGTTCGGGCAAGGACCATTAGTCGACTAGTGGTTGATTTGTGACGTACCTTACGCCTGCGCACTAATAGCAACGTGCGAACGTCTCTAGTCAAATGCTGGTCAAAATGTCATCGCAAAACTTCTGGATCCTGGCTCTCTGCTAGCGTTATGAATGCGCGCGTCTATTGGTTACCAGCGAAGCAACCAACCCCAGTAGGCTGGTTCCAAATAGTCGACTAGCGTAGTCAACCACCGTCGACTAGACAGAGTTCGGGCAAGCGTTAGTTAACCATTGGTCAACCATAGTCCTTGCGCGAACTTGGCCAAGTAAAAGGTCGTATCTCCTAAAATGGCATGAACGACGCAAAACGCTAGTTTTAGAATGTCAAAAGGTCGTATCTCGCTTAAAATAACCCGGATGTAAATAATTACGTCATAGTGTTTCATCCATCAGTGGTTTCATAGGGCGCTGTAGAAAAAATTTATCTTTGATAAGTCACTCATGCTGGAATATCAAAATCAAAGTGGCCAGCGCTGTTAGTGGGCGTGGATTAAGTCATCTACTGACCAATACTACATTTCGATTGGTTAATACATCCTCTGTACATTGGTAATGTGCATTTATTGTATACTTCATAAATACCTCAGACAGTTTAGCTATTCCTATTGGTCGAGAGCCCGTCACGTGGCCGGTATTAAACGGATGATAAAGACATGGCTAGCTGGTCTTAAACACTTTTCCAGTGTCACAATAAAATGTGGACTCCTAAAAATCCAGTGCCTCTTACCGTTTCATTGGTTGAACGTTCACAATCCTCCCGTAGGCATGCGCAACACTACCAGCGAGTCAGAATTTTATATTCATAAATACCTCAGACAGTTTAGCTATTCCTATTGGTCGAGAGCCCGTCACGTGGCCGGTCTTAAACGGATGATAAAGACATGGCTAGCTGGTCTTAAACACTTTTCCAGTGTCACAATAAAATGTGGACTCCTAAAAATCCAGTGCCTCTTACCGTTTCATTGGTTGAACGTTCACAATCCTCACGTAGGCATGCGCAACACTACATGCGAGTCAGAATTGTATAGTTCTAAATTCAAAACGCAACGCCCCAGGTGCGTTCTGCGTGACATCGCGCAGAACATGCTACGCGCGCGTCACTCTCCATAAAAGGGTTGTTTACATCTTACTCGCCAGCAGAACACTCCATTATTTTGCAAGAGGGATGTTTCAAAAAGCATGAAGTGAACTTGTTGAACAAAATCGGGATTTTTTGAACGAATTATTTGATATTTTTTTACGGATAAGGTATTTATGAATGGGAATAAATATGTGCTCGGCCGGTATTTATCACTCTGTTTAATACCGCTTAGAGTCTGGGTGCTGATAATTACCCTCGCCTCCGGCTCGGGTAATTATCAGCACCCAGACTCTAAGCGGTATTAAACAGAGTGATAAAAACCTCTCGAGCACACATTTATTCCCTTAGTTCTAAATTCAAAACGCAACGCGCCAGGTGCGTTCTGCGCGACATCGCGCAGAACATGCTACGCGCGCGTCAATCTCCATAAAAGGGTTGTTTACATCTTACTCGCCAGCTGAACACTCCATTATTTTGCTAGAGGGATGTTTCAAAAAGCATGAAGTGAACTTGTTGAACAAAATCGGGATTTTTTGAACGAATTATTTGATATTTTTGACCGAAAAGGTATTTATGAATGGGAATAAATATGTGCTCGATCGGTATTTATCACTCTGTTTAAGACCGCTTAGAGTCTGGGTGCTGATAATTACCCTCGCCTCCGGCTCGGGTAATTATCAGCACCCAGACTCTAAGTGGTCTTAAACAGAGTGATAAAAACCTCTCGAGCACACATTTATTCCCTTAGTATAGGGATCATGTTGGCCTATAAAAGGAATAGAGGGAGAATGAATCCCGCTTCTTCGTTTACGTGGGACCGAACATTCATTGTCTAATTGTTGCTAATTAGAGGTGTATTTTCTATACTGGTCAGCCACCCAAAGCCACCGGTCAACCACCCAAAGCCACCGGTCTATAATCACGGATCCTATCCTACACCAACCTCGTCCCCAGGGTGTCGAGCAGTACGCGCCCACCTCTACCTGCTCTCTCTCCCTGGTATTGGATCATTTGCACGGTGCAAGATTTTTCAACACGTATGCAAATGAGGAATAGTCTGGTGCCTGCATGTGCGTTACATGAGCGTTTGTTTTTGTATGCGGTGTCTTGGGTAAAAACAGCATCAATTCGTCGCCCTGTGGGTTATGAAAACACTAATTTTTGGGAAGTTAAAATGTTACAATCTGGCCTCCCAATATGCAGTATCACATTTCATATTAATATGAGCAAACTGGAAAGGAAAGGAGTGTTTTGAGAATGCGTGGGCGTTATAATTACAATGATCGTGAAAACACGTAATGCACGTTGGAAATAACAACACCAACCACAAGATATAAATCCATTACTAGCAAATTGCGGTATCGAATCAGGATACAGGCAAGAAAGTTTCCTATCCAGGGCTTACTATTTGAAACGAGGTTGGAAATAAAGTGAGCACTGGGGACGAGGTTGATCCTAAACACAAGGATGAACGACTGTTCTGAGCTATAGTACAAAATGCACTGAACGGACTTAACCTTAGTTGGTTGGTTGGGCGCGTGCACGGGACTTAATACCCGTTGGCATGTTAATCGCAAATGTTCCATGCAGGTGTGCCATTTTGTCGGTTTTTCGCATGACATCTAAAACGGATTTATTCAAAAATCTTTAAGCAAAATCAGCCCTTATGCTTGTTCCAAAATTGTTTACAAATAAATACTTCAGGATAATGACATTGTGCAGTTTTTGTCGTCATAGATGAAGAATTTACCCGGGAAATAAACGTCAAATGTGACAGCTTTTTCGAGAAAAACACTATTTACCAAAATCTCGTTTTTAATTATAGGCTTTCGTCAAACAGTTTTAGATAGATGTGGTCCCGAACCGACAAAACAAAACTGCGACATTTCATAGTTCATTTTAAAGCTAAACTTATTGTGCTCGGCGTTAACATGGTAATGTACCGTAGTTATTATCAGAATTCAATAATATAGGCCAAAAATGTAGGATCATGAATATTCAAAAATATAATTAGCTAGATTGACAGAATAACCCTTTGCGAGTTAAATTTGAATAAAATCTGGAACGCTGACTTAATCCAATGCTTTGCACGTTTTAACTTTGCATTGTCCCGACCACAGAGACTGTTCTATATCACGTGATTCGGGGCGAGCCTTATGCTAGCAACCCCCAGCTCCGGCATGGTCTGGTGTCTTTGTTCCATTCTCACCCACTGTGAACAGTGTATTGGTGATGAGCGTCTCTTACGTAACTATGCAAGAAGCTTGCCCAGAATCATGTGATTAGCAACAGTGTCTTTGGTCTGGAGAAATCAAAGTTAAAATGTGCCAAGCATTCTGAGCAAGTCAGTGTACCAGATGTTTTTCAAATGTAAATCCCAAAGGGTACTCGCAAATGACACTCCAGATCGAGCGCAGAGCCCTGCAAATTTGAAAGCCACCGCGTGCAGTGAAGCGGTTTATTAGCTGTCTGGGCCTTTGTTGACAAGTATTCATGGTACGGGCCGTTATCGCCCATCTATATCCCTGAGTTTGGCTGAGTCGTTAATCCTTGTGTGTAGGATCCGTGATCCACCCAATCCACAGGTTCATCCACCCAATCCACAGGTTCATCTACCCAATCCACAGGTTCATCCACCCTATCCACAGGTTCATCCACCCAATCCACAGGTTCATCTACCCAATCCACAGGTTCATCCACCCAATCCACAGGTTCATCCACCCAATCCACAGGTTCATCCACCCAATCCACAGGTTCATCCACCCAATCCACAGGTTCATCCACCCAATCCACAGGTTCATCCACCCAATCCACAGGTTCATCCAACCAATCCACAGGTTCATCTACCCAATCCACAGGTTCATCCACCCAATCCAATCAATGCCACCCACAACAAGCTTAGTCCACTGCTTTAATTAGTGCTTCCCCCTATCGGGAAACACCCCTGTATTAAAATGCACCATGCTAAAGTGACCATACTTCAATTTTTTTTAAAAAATACTCAGAACACTCACAGGTGTTTTAAGCTGCACAGAAAAGTGATGATCAACATGTCATCTTTCATTTTCTTTCCTTTTTTTGGTGGGTATTGACCATTGACTTTTCGAGATATTCTCACCCAAAGAAGACGACCCCTATTTTCCCCAAAGCGGAGAAGTAGCCATCTTGAAAAAGGATCCCTCCACAACATGGCAAAGTAGCGCCACTTTCGAGCCCAATTGCATCAAAAATGCTTAGAATTGGAAGCCCCAAGTCCGGGCCAAAGGTTCATTGCCACATCTCTTCAATTCCCCAACTTATGGCTCTCAGAACTCTCTAGGATGGGTTTAAGCCTATTTACCGGTGTGCACCCTTAGACCTGTTGAAGGCGTCGTCATCTCGTGATATCTCAAGCAGTGGCGTAACTAGGGTTAAACTTCTGGTCGATTTCCTGCTTACATAACGTCATCATTATGCTGTATAGAAAGTGACATCTTGTATGTAAAGTGTTGTCATCGTGTGGGATTATAATGCCGATGTCATCAAGTGGGATAGCACCTCCACAACAACTATGACTAGCATGAAAAGTTAGAGTTCAGGTCGTCGGTCATGTCAGATATTAATGTTTTAGGTAGTTGTTGAGACCGTGCTCTCATGATTTGTGATTGTATGGCGAGTATTGTTCTCAATGTGCTCTTCCAAACACTGCAAAGCCACTGGATCAAATGTGTAGTCAAACTTATTAGCAAAGAGATGTATCTGGGACACAAGATACTGAACATACCCCATGCTGAATACACATATTGACCTGATGGTGTGTCCGCGGCATACTGGCACCTTATAGCGGCCAAACCAGCGAATGAAGCGCACAGCCGTCCCATTTGGAGCCTGCCAGCGTCCACCCGGAGTCCCTTTAGCTGCTTGGAGGGTCGCCCAGTAATTTTCGTCCGGGCTGTATGTGTCTTTGGTCCACTCCAGCAGATCCTTGGCCGTCTGATTGTTCAAGACATAATCGACAAACCGGCGACTGGCGATGTAGTAGGCCAAACCGGCGTAAACCGTCATGTTATGAGGAGCCGGCTCTTTGCGCTGTCGCGTTCTCACAACGTGCCCGTCCTCTACCACGTGGTGATAGCCCGTCCATTTTCGCTTATACGAAGGAGGCTCATCTACACAAATATCGTTGTGGCCATCGTAAGATTGGAGTTTCCTCACTATCTCCAAGTTGGACTTCAGAGGAAAGTCCTGCCCACTGAGGTTGATCACGTACTTCCACGGGTAACCGAGCGCTGTGGGTCCCGTCAGGTCCTTCATACAGTTGATGTCGGCCAAAAGGCGCGTGAATCCTGCATATTGCACCGACACAGTCCTGGATGCCACGAAGACATTTTCGAAGTACCTGGCGAAACCCGCGACGGCGCCTTTAAAGTCCTCGGGCGATTTATTGTCGATGTGGATGCAGTAAATGTTCTGAGGCTGATAGATCGCCCTCAAGAGGCGTTCCACCTGTGCTGATTGCTTGTGGACCACCATAATGTAAGCTATAGGGAAAGCCGACTCTTCCTCGGACAAGGGATACTGTGGATAATCTCCGATACGCCTAAAAGTTGTGCAATCTTGAGTCCACCTCAAGACATCAATATCTAGCGGCATCAGTGGTTTCTTAGGCTTATGGTTAATAATCATGCGCTGATGACTTAGTATTCTCACCACGCGTTTGATCTCGGCCTCGTTTCCTTTCACAATCTCGGAGCAGTCGGCTTTCCATTTTCGATGGAGAGTCGATGACAGGCCAACATTAGAAGAATTATTGTGCGACATATTAAGACGCCCTTGCTCATGTACATCTGTTGATATTTCGTGGGTGTGTAGTTCACTGAGCACACTGCCGTTTTCAGTACGTCCTCCAGTCACTGTGGTGCTAATAATTCCCGCCTTAATACCATGGCGAAATGAAGGAGGGACGGATTTAATAACGGGCAACGCCAGAAAATCCTTCCATCGGACAAGTAGTAGACTGCCAAATACCAGTAGGATCAAGAGGAGAAAAAGGCACTTAGTCCAGATGATGGCTCGCTGTGGTAAACAAGACCGTGCCGCCATTTTCTGGTCTGTCATGGCCCATTTTAGTCTATCATTATAGGCTAGTATAACAGTCATGTGCCTATATAAAAACTGAGAAACGACGTGAAACGAACTGTTTCTGGACTCTAGCAAACTTGAGTCGGAGTCTGCTTTAGTTTTTGAAACATAAATGCATTCACACGCTAACATGAGCGTACTTATGCATTGATTTGTTCTATGATTTTGCACAAAATGTTGCATCTGCTCTGTAACCAGATTCCATTGTTTGCACAACTGTATCAAAATTGATTGGGTATTATTCGTGTACGGTGAATCAAATAATATTATGGTTTTGTCTATCGGCAATCAATATCCAAGTTCATGCATTTTAAGATCATTATTGTGCCGCGCAACGCGTTTTGTCCACGGCCGGTACCGGCACGTGGACACCGCGGTGTAGCGTATCCGACACCATTATTTAGGTTGGTATAGTATTGCGCATGCGGCGTATAACGGGAGAGTGACTGGTCACGTGCGAGGGATTAACCAATAATAAGGATTCGCTCGTACCCCCCGCCCTGCAAACAGGGCGCTGGTAAGGGCTGATGAGCTAGCTTCACAGAATCTTGTGAAGGAAGTACAGATTGACCTTCGCATGCAGCTAGCGCGCGCTACGCATGGTGGGCACCGGAAGCTAGTTTGTGTGACGCGTTCTACGTCACAGGTCACGCAAATCTATCCAATGAGAGCTCAAATGACGTCAGCCCTTACCAGCGTCCTGTTTGCAGGGCGGGGGAACGAGCGAATAATAAGGAAAGGAGTCCGATTTTCACAGGAGTCGGATGTTCAAATGACACTGGCACTAGTGGTGCCAATGGATGAAGTCAACCTCGTCCCCAATGCTTACTTTATTTCCAACCTCGTTTCCAAGAGAGCGGGTAGTCTGGGCGCGTACTGCTCGACACCTTGGGGACGAGGTTGGGATGAAGTATTCCGTTACTTTTTTACCCCGGTCAACAGCAGCATATACGAAATGATCTAGAAATCGGAACCTGCGATGTTGGGGAGGGGGACTATAGCAGAGCGCGGTGGGGGAAGTTGGTTGAGTGCTGTCGTATTTTACACACGTCCCCCAGGCGTCGCGAGGAAGCACGGGCAGGGGCGGATCCAGGAATTTTCTCAGGGGGGGGGCGGGCGGGGTTTCATCAGCACAAAAATCTAAAAATGTACACAGGTTTTTTCTCTGGACACTTGGCCTCCGTAAAATCAAAAACTGGGGGGGGGGGGGGGGGGGGGGGGGGGGTACCATATTTCAATAGGGCGCGCTGTTCAAATTCGGCGATTATTAACGCTAGATTACAGAAATGGTGTACCGTATTTTTAACAGGCGGACATTATACCAGTATAATTTTTTTTGGGGTGTCACAGAGCTGGAGGGGGGGGGGGGGGGTTGACCCCCAAACCCCCCCCCCCCCTCTGGATCCGCGCCTGACGGGGCCATTTACTGCTCTCTCCGGTTCGCTCGTACCCCCGCCCTGCAAACAGGACGCTGGGATACTCTGATGAGCTTCACAGAATCTTGTGAAGGAAGTGGCCTTTGACCTATGTATAAAGCATCTGGCTGCAGCTGTTCAAGACCGCAGTTAGACAATGTGCGCACATGCTATCCGAAAACTTCCCATAGAATTTCGCACATTCCATACTGGATGTGATTTTCAATTGCGGACCATGTGGACACAATTATTTTGAGCGTCGCATAATGCAGTCCGACCGTGCGTGATTAGAAACGGAGCCTGAGCAAGTGACGGGAATTGTAAATTTACAACACAGATATTACAGAATTTCCTACATTATCACGCTTTTCAACGAGAAAAAAAAACATCTCTAAACTGGAATAAAAGAGTAATGAATCAGTCTTAACGGCCGTTTCAAACCTTGCAGAGCCATGACTTTGATGACGCGTAGGTCACTCGTCACGCAAAATTCAACCAATCAGAGCGTGAATTCATCAGAGTATCCCAGCGTCCTGTTTGCAGGGCGGGGGGACGAGCGAACTCTCTCCGGCAGAACGTGTCTGATACATCTCAGCATGCGAGACGTCATTTCATCCCAAAATCTGGACAAAGATTTTGATTGGTCAATAACAATTATTTCGATGTCAAGTTTTTGTAACACAAGAACCTGTACGTGCCTACTTATCGTGAGCGTGATGTTTACGCACACGAGGAGCTGGCATTATCGAGCGTATATGGCACCCGCTGATTGGTCAGTAAGTTTCTCGATGTTATTATACGCAGCCTAGTTGCATAATTAATCGCCTTGTCTGACCATGGCCGACTTCGCCAGGGCCAGGGTCTATTAGATACCACTCCCTCGACACCTCCCCCACCCCCGTGGAAAAAATGCGGTCTCCACCCATGAGTAAAAAAAGCGGAACCCAAACCCCCCAAAACATATTTCATGTTTAAAAAATATGTAGGCCTAGCACTGGAATGCCAATTCCATAAGCTACTTTGAGATGACAAAAATAATGAAATTGCTCAATTCATTTTAAAAATATCACCATTAAAACCTACTGACCCTAAAACCTCTTTTATCCACAAAAAAAAACCCAATTTATTGTGCATTCTTCCTGTTTGGAACAACAAAGAAAATGACACAGAATACTTGTTTCAACAACAGACTGTCAACAGCCGTGGTACATAATATCTTTATTAACAACACTGGTTAGGCAAACAATATGATTGATAAAATCCCCCTCTTTAAAAGATAGGCCTTCAAAATGACTTTGTGGAATATTTTTAAACTTTTAAACTGAGGTTTTATCGCTGGCGATGTTTGAAGACATCTAATGTAACGACGGTTCTTGAAATCGTATATTTGGGCGAAAGAGGTTTTAGGGTCATTATTGAGCATATTCAGTATTTTTTTCCTCTAAAAGTAGCTTATGAAATTGGCTTTCCAATCATTATTATTTTTTGGTGCTACATATTTCTTTAAAATATGAAATATAATTTTTGAGGTTTGGGTTCCGCTTTTGTTGACTCACCCTATATACAAACACACGGTAAACAAAATGAATATGAAATAAGCAATGAAAAACACAGCAGGGAGAATTTTAAAAAGGGGATTTAAGTTAAACTTTAAACAAAATGATAAACTTTGTCTGTTGCATGTAGCCCATCTAGTATGTCGTTTCTTGAGTCCAAGAGGTGGCTATTTAAAATAAACCTTGCAGCCACCATGGGCGTCGCCAGGATTTTTTCTAGAGGGGGGCAAAAAAAAAAAAATTGCCAAAAAATGTTTGTATTTCTCAACACATTCTCGATTTATCAGTTTTAGAGGGGGGCAGGGACAATT